AAACAAAAGGCCGGCGTTGACTATGGTGAGGTGTTTGCTCCCGTTGCTCGTTTGGAAACTATTCGATTAATGATTTCTTTGGCAGCCCAAAATCAATGGCAAATCCATCAAATGGACGTGAAGTCCGCTTTCTTGAATGGTATTTTGGAAGAGGAAGTCTACATTGATCAACCTTTGGGTTATGAGGTTAAAGGGGAAGAAGACAAGGTCTTGAAATTGAAGAAAGCTCTTTATGGCTTAAAGCAAGCACCTCGTGCATGGAATAGTCGAATCGATCAATATTTTCAAGCAAATGATTTTTCAAAATGTCCACATGAACATGCTCTTTATGTGAAGAAGTCTAAAAGTGGTGACATGTTACTTGTTTGTTTGTACGTGGATGACTTGATTTTGACAGGAAATAATCCAAAGATGTTCGAGGAGTTCAAGATGGCTATGGCGAAAGAGTTCGAGATGACTGATATTGGCTTAATGTCCTACTACCTTGGCATTGAGGTGAAACAAGGAAGTGACGGTATCTTTATTTCTCAAGAAAGATACGCCAAGGAAATTCTAAAAAAGTTTGATATGGAGAATTGCAAGCCGGTTAGCACTCCGGTGGAATGTGGAGTCAAGCTTTCAAGACAAGGAAATGGGGGAGAAAGTCAATCCTACAAACTTCAAAAGTCTAATTGGGAGTTTAAGGTATTTGACTTGTACACGACCGGATATTCTATTTGCCGTTGGGTTAGTTAGTCGGTTTATGGAAGTTCCTACTACTTCTCATTTGAAGGTTGCAAAGAGAATACTTCGGTACATCAAAGGTACACTTGATTATGGGATTTTATATTCTCATTCTCAAAATTTTGAACTTGTTGGTTATTGTGATAGTGATTGGGCCGGTGACATTGATGATCGTAAGAGTACTACCGGGTTTGTATTCTTTATGGGAAATTCATGTTTTACTTGGAGTTCAAAAAAGCAACCCATTGTTACTCTTTCTACTTGTGAAGCGGAATTTGTAGCAGCAACTTCTTGTGTTTGCCATGTGATTTGGCTTAGAAGTTTGATGGAAGAATTTCACGAACCACAAGAAGACCCGACGAAGATCTTTGTTGACAACAAATCAGCACTTGCACTGTCGAAGAATCCGGTGTTTCACGAAAGGAGCAAACATATTCATACAAAATATCATTTCATACGAGAAAGTGTTTCTAAGAAAGAAGTGGTCCTTGAGTTTGTGAAGTCTCAAGATCAAGTTGCCGACATATTCACCAAACCATTGAAGAGCGACGTGTTTCAAAGATTGCGAATGTCTCTTGGTGTGATGAATCTAGTTTAAGGGGGAGTGTTGAAATAATAAACTAGATTAAGTGTATTAAAGAATATTCTAGAAGGTTAATTCATGTATTAGTTTATTCAAAAAAAAAAACAAGTTAAGTTTTCAAGTTTAATAGAATTCTCCTATTCTCCTCCACTTTTCGTGTGTGTGTGTGTGAGTGTTGAGTGAGTGTGCTCTCCATTTTCCAACAGCAAATTATAGTTTTTTTTTTTTGTCTGTAGCTTTTTTCTGTATCGAATTGGCAAGAAACTAATGAGAATGAACGAAGAAGACGATGATAAAAATAAGAGGGTTTTTTCAGATTTACAATTTAATAAATCTGTGAGGGCAATTCTGTCATTTTATGTCTTAAAAACAACTAACAGCCGCAGGTCCGGCGAGTGTGCAACACGAAAATACCCTAGGGGGGTTTATGCCTTTGACAAAATTTCACAGGGGGGTTTTTGCTAATTTATTTATCACAGGGGGGTTTTTGCTATTTCAAGATAACACAGGGGTACTTTTTGCACAAAACTCTATTATGTTGTGTTTATTTTTTATTTATTTTTTTGAACTGAAATTTAGTAGTTATTAGTTTAACTTTTATCGACGTGGATGCTCTTATTTTCGAAAAATTATGAACATTTTAGAAAATTTCGGCTAAGTTTTGAAATTTTAAAGCTTATGTGATTTCCGATTTTTTTTTCCGAAATTCCGAATTTCCAGGCCTTTTGGAATTGGAATGAATTTTTAGATTCCGAAAATTTTGGAATTGGAATTGGAATTGATTTTGTACTTTCGAAAATTTTTGGAAATTTTCCGAAAAGGCTAATTCCGATCCGATCCATCCGACTTTCACCCCTAACCATATTACATCAAAAACATAAAATTAAATTTTTAAATATTAAAAAAAATGTTTATGGATGGGTGATTATCACCAATGCATATAGCAAAACATCAAAATGAATTGAAACTTCAATTTTATCGTTTAAATTGAACTTTACTTTGTATTAATTTTACTTCAATTCCGTGCATCGCACGGCCCAAAAATCTAGCATATATATAATTTTGTAATTTTGCATTGCTTTGTGTATACTATGAAAGAAACTTTTAATCCACCACTTTTATTTAGTGATATTTAGCTTTTTATTACACTCACTTTCAGACACCTTTAGAAAAAAAAACCCTGAATCCGTCGATGACCGTGCGCCATGTCTAATCCGACGAAATCGAACCCTCACTCAAGTCAACCTAAAATCTAAAAAAATTAAGGAAGAATTTAAGAAAGACTCAAAAGTATCAAAGGATGAATATGAGTAAATACAGTTTGTAGTTGAGTTTCAAAAGTTAGTCGATGTGAGATTTCATCCATTTGAAATGGTAGAGATTTATTTATTGGGTTTTTTTTCTCACTATTTGGGTTTAATGGGCCTTTTTAGTAACTATGGCCCATTTAATTTTGTTTGGGCCTTAGCATCAAATTACAAAAATATATTTATTACATATGCTTAAGAAATACGTGATTTTTTTTCTTTTCTAAATTTAAAAAGTCAATGTTGTATATAATCTCCGCTTCTATCTTACTAATAATCTTGGTTTTTCAACGTTCAATTATTGATTATTAATTGTTAGTGATGCTTTCTATTATTACTTGATCCATTTTAATAGGATTGTACACAATTTATATATTCTTTAAGTTCAGTGCATTCCTAAAAAAAGATAAAAATAAATTTATATATAATTTTGAATTACGTTATGATTTGATCATTTTATAGGATTTGTGGGGTGTACGTGGACAACTTTGACAATATTTGGAATAATTTTGGGAGTTATTTTTATTTTATTTTGAGGAAAAGTGGGTTGAAAGAATAATTTTAGAATGAAAATAAGGCTTAATTTCACTTACACCCTCGAAATATACAATTTTGCCACTTTGCACCCCTGAAAATAGTTTATGGCACTTTGTATCCTTAAAATTTGTTTAATCGTTAAAATTATATCCTAATTTATTTTTCGGCCAGAATTCCGTTTTTGACTTAATTTCTGATAGTCAACATAGTCATTTTTACTTGAAAATACACTAGTAATTTGCACACCGAAGAAAAAATCAATTGTATAGACAAAAATGACCATGTTGAATGTTGATGATCAAAAAATAAGTAAACGATAGAAAATTATGTCAAAAAATAGACTAGGATGCACTTTGAATAATTAAACATGTTTTGAGGGTGCAAAGTGCCATAAGTTATTTTTAGGTAGCAAATGCTAAAATGGTATATTATGAGAGTGCAAAGTATAATTAAGTCTGAAAATAATATTTGTTCATGATTTCAGATTAGACAAATACAATATAACAATGCAGTCATGTTTAAAGTTGTTTCGAAAAATGTATTTAAACTAGAAGAAGAATTTGAAATATAAAGTAATTTTTATTTTTTAATGAAGACATTTTTTATCGTAGTAGCCAAATCATTATACTATATTAGCAAAATCATGTTTGAAGGAGAGAGAAGATTTAGAAGTTATTTTAATTTTTTTTTTATAAAGCTAAACAACACGAATTCATTTCCGGAAAAGAATAAAAGTAAAACGAGAACTGAACGAATCATTGCCTTTGAGTTTTTCTAAGTTGTGTTTTATGTTGGATCTTTATTTATCACTTTGTAACAAGAATTATTATTATTATTATTATTATTATTATTATTATTATTATTATTATTATTATTATTATTATTATTATTATTATTATTATTATTATTATTATTATTATTATTATTATTATTATTATTATTATTATTATTATTATTATTATTATTATTATTATTATTATTATTATTATTATTATTATTATTATTATTATTATTATTATTATTATTATTAATTAGGGGTCTTAGGATATAGGACCTTGGTGACAAAATTTATTAGAACTAAATGACAAGTCTAACTAAACATTTGCTTCACATCCTTTATAAATTTTATTCCA